ACCTATCACGTTATTTTATTAATCAAACATTATTATACAGCGTGCACTGTATAATTGAAAATATAAATATTAATCTATACCAATATTATATATCATTAGAGCTGCATTTTCGAAGACACGTTAATATCATACCTTGGCAGTGCCGTTCACAAATTTTATAGTCGTAGTAGTCGGACAACTTTTCACAATATTTCGAACACGGATCACACTGCCATTCTTGCTCCAAACACATGTAGTATTCGGGACACTCCTTTTGGCCGCAAATCTTCCTTAGCGATAATCCGCCTTCCATCATTATGATTTACTATAATCTGCGGAAGAAATGTTATTAATTGATCTTAACACTATACGGTATACGATATTACAATAATCAATGTACCTACATTAATACAATAACGGACCTAGTCAAGTGTACCTATAGATCGTGTGCGGAGTAAAACGAAGACAATTGTTAGGTGTAATCAAAAGATAAACGAAACTAAAAAAATGTGAAACACCCGTGGGAGGATTGGAGATAACCTGACGATGATAAGCGGGCAGGTAGTCGGACTCATTTTGATAGGATACACTGTAATATGATAAAAACGTTCAACACTAACCGAATTTATTCTAATCGGCCGTAAGGATAAACACTACCAGTACTGTATATACTATTTTTTTATATGGTCATCATTCGATAGAATCTAGTGCGCATGCATGCTATAACGACTATTCTGAAGTATGTGACTCAATTATTGTGTTATTAACTGATGCTTAGGAATGTCGCCGACTGTTATTGGCGTCTTGACTGGCGGCATCTAACCCCGCACTACTACTATCACCACCATGTGACCGGTGACCGACATCTATGTGTTACAATATTGATTACGTGTCAGTTTTAACAAAATTCCAGATAAAATAATATTATGGCGTCGTGCTCTTTCCGCCCTTTATCGTAATTTTTACCTGCTGCAAATAAAAATATAAGGTTGCCTATCCATTCAAAATTTAAAATTATACAGAAATTGTATAAAATTGTCAAATTATTATAGTTTTAGGTTCTGAGTGGAGCGAAGAAGCTTATAGTTTTACATAGATGTTTATTTATTTATTTTTTTTGGGCAACTTTTCTACCAAAGAATTCCTAAGATTTCTACGTGTAGCATCTTCTCTAAAGGAAGTCGGCATGAAAAGATACTTTAAGAATGTTTATTTTTCGATTTTCTTAAGAGTATTTTCATTTAATGTGAAAAGCCAAATCAAATTGGGAAAATTTACGAATTATAATACTACAATTTTTTTTTTCTGTAGACATCTTTCCTACTAGCAATTTCGGTCCAAATTTTAATGATGTAGAAACAATGTTTCTAAAAGAAAATTTCATTAGCGAAGTACTTAAATAGGTCATATTAAAAAACCAAACGGTAATTAAAGAATATTTTCTAAGGTCTAGACACAAACATATATCATGTATCTATTAAGCTCAAAATTATGTGTTAACAGATCTACGAACCATAAGAGTAAATTTAAATTTGTTAATTTTTTTGAACAACTAGAGCATTATGTAAAAAAAAATTGTAACGATTTTTTTGTAGTTTTAGGACGTTAAAAGAGTTTAAATCATTATGTGCAACTTGTTGGGGCGTTCGATATGGTTTTTATCGAAGGATTTAAAAAAA